TCCCCCCCCCCTCCGCTCCCGGGACTGCCATCTGTGGTGGAGAGGTTAGGCCTTTCACCATTGCAACCAGGAGATGCGAGTTTTATTCATGGGTGGATAAATGTTTTATTGAGTATCTCTGTCTTTCTGCTGGGACATTGTACATGTATCGCTTTAAGCCTGGGTTGGCCCTAACATGCAGGGATAAAGCAGCCCGCCTCTAAAATGATCCACCTAGTGTTTAATTAATTATGAAAATACGTATTATGAAGGGCTATATAGTGGTGATTTACCCCCCCCCCCCAGACAGTTGAAGCTTTAACATAAAATCTTCTCAAAATCAAAATTGTATGCAAGAATGTCGCAGACATTTTACACCCCAGTGGAAACAACTTTTATCATGAAGCAGACGGCCAGTTTCATCTCTGGCTGTCGATGCCAACCCCGACAGAAATTGGAAACTGGATCTCAGCATGGAAATGGAGGTTGTGGATATTCCTTCGCCGACAGAAAGGAAAACTCGTGTTCTCTGTGGGCACCCCCCACCCCCCCCAAAAAAAAAGAAGAAATTTTTTTTTAAATGATAAAAAAAGGTCTGTCATCAATGAAGTCAAATAAGAATAGCCAACTATGTATCGTCAGCGAAATTAAGTTTTCTATGGGTCTACTTTCTATTATCTCTTTAAGGATGTTGGGAACAATACAAATTAATTATGTCAGATCAGCAGACCAAATACAATGTCATTTGATACATTTTGAGCCCTCATACACAATTTCTTGCCCGCCTTTTTAAGTTTCAGCAGTTAAAGAAAGTAAATTGAAAAAAAAAATCTGAATGAACAACGGAGTTATGCTTCTGTTTTTTTAAAGTGTCCCAAAACAGCGCGTCTTCAAGCATTGTCGAAGGACCAGAATGCATATACTCAGTGAGCTGAGACATTCATGATAGACTATAACATATTTTTCAATTTCCCTGACACCATTACTGACGGCTGTAAGACAGAATGCAGGGATAGCTCGGCAGTCAGCATCACGCAAGACTCTGATGCGGACGACCCGGGGTCAAAACCCCTCTTCATCATCCGGTGCCTTGCCGACAGGCGTGGGCGATCATGGACCTCCACTTCACCCTGTCCTGCGCTGCAGCAATGGTGTCTGTTGTTCTTGCTGCTCCCAACCATGTTTTCCTCTTGTCCAGTATATTTTCCCTCAGTCTGCCTCTGTTTGTCTTTCCATCAAACTTTCCTGTTGTTACAATATTCTCTAATTCTTCTTTCCGCATTGTGTGTCCGAAGAAATTTGCCTGTCGTTTTCTTATATTCGTGATAAGTTGTTTTCTATCATTTGCTTCAACCAGGACTTCTTGATTTGTTTTTCTAGCTGTCCATGGGATACGTAGCATGCGTCTTATGAACCACAACTCTTGTCGCCACAATAATTGTTTCCAGCTGTTTATTGATTGTCCACGCTTCGCACCCGTATAATAGGATTGGCTCGATGTAACTTTTCAGGACTCCTTTCCTCGTTTCCAGTGACAGATTGATGTTTGTTATATGGTCGTTTTTAAGGACAAGCGGGCTAACCGAGATATCGGGGGTTTCCAGAAATCTTGACCAACAACAAAAGTGGGCATTGTCCTACCTACAGGAGAAGTTTTGGTTTCATTGGTGTGTATATTTGCTTGGTTATAGAGAAAACTCATCCTTGTCTTTTAAAGAAACTGAACAAGGGGCAAAAACTTTACCTTCGATTTTCTCAAAACAGCATCTTTCGGCATGGCCCCCTTGTGCTTAAAAGCGACCATATATAGGGCATTCTTGAACTTGTTTCATTCAGTTTTCAAGGCTCTCCCGCCAGTATGGTTCAGTCCCCTGTCAGCGATGGATGTCAAATTCATTGTTCTGCCTGGTAGATGAAATGTCAGCTTAAATTGATCGTTGAACCGATACCGAACAATCCCATCTCAAGTTGCGATCTGCCTAGTGAACATGCATCTAAATAATGCCGCACTGACATAATTTGTGTCACGACGCGGTGGAATCATGCTCTCGTCAATTTTTGGACATGTAAAGTTATTGGTATTATCTTAAAGCTTGTTCATTTGTCTAACTCTAAAGGAAAAAAACATAATTCAATTATCTTGAATACAAGTCGAGACATTTGTGAATAAAGGAAGTGGGGGTCACCTGGTTTCAGAGATAAAATTATTGAGAAAATGGCCTTTCACAGATTAGGTATTTCCTTAGCTTGAGAGTCTGTGGAAATGGAAAATCCCCCTCCCCCAACCAGGGCAGTGCTACTAACTGAAGTTGTCTTTAGGCCATTCCCAAAGGGGGGATATTAACATGTTCTTATAGGCCTACACAGCAGAATTGTAAATGGGCTGATTTATCAATGTCATGCTCATAGTGTGCCGGAACAACATAGGGGGAACAGTTGCTTTTTCTTTCTTCATCCTTATTATCGTCATTTTTCCTCTACTTGTTTTGTATGTTTGTCACTCTCTTGTGAACTGCTATTCCTGGGGTGCCTTGATAGTCGAAACAGACTTTGTGCTGTTGAGGCTAGAGAGGTGAGCAGAGTAAGCCTGATTCCCCGTTTGGATTACTCTGTTGACATCCACCCATTGGCACTCATTTGATCTTATGCAGTTGCGAGCGCCGTAAAACCTTACTAAAACAAACCAACTGAAAATTAAAAATGTTCTGCCTTTAATCAAAGTTTTTCAGTAAAGTCCACTCTTTTTTTTCTCTCTGATTTCTTTAACAAGCAACTGATTTCACCACGCTACCTCACATTTATTAATTTTTAACTCTTTTTTTGTGTGTGACTATGCAGCCTATTCACCAACCACTCAAACTCTTGGTTCTCAGCACATGAAATCTTACTAGATTCTAGAACAAAGTGACAGCCCCAGGTTTGTTACCATAGCAAGAGATGCTAATGCAAACAGCAAAATTATATTGCTAATGGTTAGAAGCAACTATGACGACGATTTGTTGGAAATTAACATTAGGTAAGATTCAAAGTAAAATAAATATTATTACTTTCTCTTCACAGGAAAAATTTTGGGTGATACATATGTTCAAACCCAACCGAGCGTTGCCATATTTTATCTGCAAGAGGTCGTGAGGAATATGACGGTGGTATGCAAGGCGAGAAATAACCTGGAGTTAGAAGTAGAAAGCAACGCAGTTCAAGTGACTGTTTTTACCAACGGTAATTTTCCTGTGACTGAAGGCTTCTTTTTTTGTTGAAAAACAATACGCCACCCTACAATTACAAAGTTCTATCTGTTCAGTACCTAGTTTTGAGAAATCTGACGTAAAAAGTTTTTTAAAAAGAGTTTCATAAGATGTCATTAAAAAAAAAATGCAATTCTTTGAATATCTTGATAACAACGACTCCGAATAATCTTACAATTTTTTGTAGGGCAGATAGAACATTTGGTTTCTGACCTCATGGTCTTAGTAACTCAAAACGGCCAAAAATATCAGATAGAACTTTGTAATTCTAAGGTAGCGAATAGTCATGGTGGTGTTTTCTTATCTGTGCCTGTGCTAAGAAATGTATACATTTATGTTTAAAGAGGTATGTCTGTGTAAGCATATGATGAGAGTCGAGAGTACTGTATTGCTGTTCAAGGATGATCGTACCTTAGTCTTGTCATAAAATTCTGAATTTATGCTGTCTTAATGAGTTTTCTATCATGTTTCTATAAATATCTGGCAGGGAAATTGAGACCACTTAAAAACTTACGTTTTTAGGTGAATACTGGAACTCTCTTCACTTTGTTCTTGTAACAGGGATATTATATTTATACAT